TGAAAACCGGAAACGGACCCAAAAAAAGAGGAAATGGACCCAAAAAAAGAGGAAACCGATCAACAAACTGAGAATTTACAACTTTTTCTGAAAACCGGAAACTGACCCAAAAAAAAAGAGGAAACGGACCCAAAAAAAAGGGAAACAAATCAGATGTAAATATAGCGGAAACCGACCCAAAATATCCGGAAATCCCTCTACACTTTTTAGTTTTTGAGGGATTTCCGATAATTCTTGAAAAAAGAAGGAAACGGACCCAAACTCACTTTTGGGTCCGTTTCCGTGTTGAGGCGTTTCCATAGCACCTGAAAGGGTTCTCCCATTCTATCATCACTTCAGAAAGCCCCTGGAGGATGCATTTATATAGGATCTGGTGAACTCTGTGGAGTTGGAAAAGGTTAAGGTGAAGAATCTTTACATGGAGATGACGGACACCCTCCCCCCTCCTAAGGTTGTTTATAATTTGTTACAGAAATCTAAAGCGTGGGTTCTCATAAAGTATGAATTCTAAAGCTCCACGCTTAACCTTCAAACAAAATACTTAGCCCTACCTTTCAGCAGACAAAGTACCCTTCATCCACGTAAAAAAAACAGATATTCCCTGATCAAACAAACATCAAATACAAAAACATAAGCTTTAATATATTTTTTCACAAAAACTAAAAGATATAAAAAACTGCACCAATTCTATTTCGTTTATTAAAATAACAAATTGTAATAATATGATTATTAATTAAATTTATATATTTTTATGAAACCCCTACACTGGCTCCCTGGCTACACAAAAGAATGCAGACCTTGAACAAAACAGGCAACTTCAATCCTGCAAGACAAACCAACAAGCAGTTCAAGTCAGGATATGAGCTAGAGAGGTTCCTCCAAGTCTTGATAAAACAACATGTTTGACTCTGTTAGAAATACAACATAACGTTCTTTAATGGCTCCTTTATTGGTTCAATTGATGGAGGCTTACACCAAGAACCTGGTACTACTTGCTATCCCTGCAGCCTCTACCTACAACCTGAGCAAGTTAAACGTTCTATACAAAATAAGCCTATAGGATACACCTTTGTATCCTTTGGCCAAAAGGTCAGTAATTTTCTAAATTACATATAAATTTCCGCATCACTTTTCTGATTCTTTAATTTCTGACAATCCCCTTCTGCCGCTTATTGTTTAAGTTTATGGAGCTGTTGCGGACAAGTTCCCGTCACAGTGTACGAGCTCCTGTTAGCTGTTGCTAAGAAGTTCGAGTCCCCAGAGCTCCTGAGCTTGTTTATCAGATCTCTAACAAATACGCATTGGATTCATTGGATTGAATCCATTTGGGATCAGGCAATCCTTTTTTCCTTTTATTTTCACTATATACTGTGGAACACGACTCCTAGTGTTTAGGATCACATAATTCTATGTCTCCCTGTATTCTATTGTAGTGCATCGGACAAGAATACTGTACCCCGGCTCTGGAAGTCCTGTACTACTCCAGCAACGGTTTCCTCTTCATTCCCCTCTACAAATATCTCCTCTGGATCGTCTAAATATTAGAAAGGAGCAGTTTTTTATTTTACGATTAAAATCGCATATTTCTCCGTCCAATAGTTGTATATTTGTATTGTTTGGCAATTCTTTTACGAAAGGATAATAAGTTTGGTTTCTGCATGATTTGTTAAGCTTGGTTAAATTTGATCTCTATCAAATTAGTAGTGAAGGTTTCTATATTTGGGAAGTTTTTATGTGATACTTTTGAGTGCCCACCATTATTTCAACCCAATCATGACCAAACCATCTTGCGACCGTGACCTCAAGATTGCAGAATTGTCCAATACTTTACTGGAACTTCCGAGACCTTTTCTAGACAAACTAAGTGACAGGCTTATTTCCTTCCTAACCCCCTCTGAGGTACGCGCATTGTACCTCGAGAACCAACCCCTTGAGTTTGCACCCCCTGCTCTTGCCACTGCGTTTAACATCTCTACAATATCTACACTGGTCTCTGCAGCTGCTGCGGAAATCACGCAGCACGTACCCGAAACCTTTGTTAAACCTGTCTATACCTTGGGTGACGGGGTACTCCAGGCTAAGGATTTGGAGACCCTGCGTAACTTCTGGAAAGATGGGAGGGGAATGGGATCATTGGAATCTTCATTAGAGTATATTAATGAGACTGAAAACGTTAAGGGTTTATACACCATTTCACCCACAGAGTGCTTGAGCACACTTGAGCAACTCAAATTTCGGAAAGCAACCATGCCCGAAGTTTTCTCTACTCTCCAGACCATACATGGATCTAGGAAAACCCTGCTCCTTAAGTCCTCATCCAATCAAATAGAGATGGATGCAACCGCCATACGGGAAACCCGGCGGTTTTTGAAGGGGTTGGGGGGGGAAACCTTATGGAATGCAATCCTTGCACACTTTAATACCACACCAGGCCGTCATTTTAGGGATTTACTGCATATTTTAACTGAACACTTTTCTGAGACTCTGGGTGACTTACACTCAAAGGTTACCAAAATTAGGAAAATACAGGTTGCCCAACCTGTTGAACCAGCAGACCGTCCTGTAACTATCAGTGAAGTTAAAAGATTTCTCAGTATACCGGATAAAACTGATATATCCCAAGGTTTATGTTTCACTTGTGGGATCGCAGGTCATTTGATGAAAGATTGTAAAACCAAACAAAGGTCTACCCCTGGTCCCAATCCTCGACATATGGTTGTCGCACATTTCGGGCGTGCCGGGTTGGGAAGGAGAGAAATTTTAATTTCCCATCAGGCTAATTGGTTGTGTACCGGCACGTACTAGACGCGGTTTAGCTCGCGCTGTTAGCGCGCCCGGTTTAAGAGTGCGGGCAGGTGACAATACACCGGCCCCGCTCAGTTTTACTAAAACCTTTGGCGGAGTATTTAAGTTTATATGTGCTTATTTAATATATTTAACCTTGCGTAATAAAAGTGATTGATTTCAGAGAAGATGCGCGGCGGTTTACAGATTCCTACTGACCAGGATTCTTCAGTTCCGGAAGTTGGTGATGTTGTAGCTTCCGAGGGTGGTCCTTGTGAACAGGGCTACACTTTGACGGACACTTTGGTTAGGTAAGAACATAAGTGCCTGAATTAACCTATATATTAGGTAATAGATTAATATTAGGTTTTGAATATAGTGTAATATAGTAAATTTAAATTTGAGTTAATTCGCTGGTATTATGCAATATCTGGTTATAGGTGACCGTGTGGATTAACATTTTTTTTATAGGTCAAAGTACTTAACAATTTTTGGTAAGGCGGTACAGTGTAACTCATTATTTAAGAGTGCCATTATGTTATTTCGTGATTCAATGTTAATAGCCAAATGTAACGTTTAGATTTGCTGGAGAATGCATCCAGGCTAATTTGAGTCATATTATTTATGGAGACGGAACAGTTAAGGCCCGGTGTACAGACACCTGCAGTGGGGAGGTGTTGTTGAGCATAGGCTGTACTGTGTTGATTGGGTCAACTTGCTGGGTGGTTGGAAAGTGTGTTTTAAGGTATATTAAATTAAAAATTATTTGATGAATGGTTAATTTTGAGTGGAAAGTAAATTTTTGTTAAAACTGTTTGAATATTAAGAAAATGAAATATTCTAGGAGATTTGGTATTCTGAAAGCTAGTACTTCGGAGCGCCTAGATGTAGCTACCGGAGAGCGAAGTTTGTCAGTCATATCTGCTGGTTACAACAATTTACTTCCTGCTACCCCTCCGAAGTATTCAGTGTAAGTTTTTAAAGCAATTATTGTGGTAGATGTTGACATCTAATTGAAAACAATTTTTTGTAAATAGTTAATATGACCTTGGTAGAATGGATAACAAGATTCAAGAAAATTGCTATTTAATATGACCCTGTTAGAATAGAAAGCAAGATTTAAAATAATTGCTATACCGGGTTTATAGTTTTGTATGTTAGGTATGAGCGACCGGACATATGCAGTGTCGGAACCCAGACTCGTTTGCGCTTTGAGGATAGAATTGCTATCAGTACGCAGACTGACGTTTTCGAGGTATAATATTGACATATTTTAAGCTCGGTGAAAATAAAAGTAATTATCTTTAGGCCTAACGTATTTTTGAGTTAATGAATGTTTTAATGGAAATTATTGAGTTTGCAAATTATGTAATAATTTAGTATGGTAATATTGTTTTGTTTAGGAGGACACCGTGAGTCGTGGTTTAAATCAGTTATATAACGATACTGAGCATGTCCTGAAGGAGCGGTATGGCGACGTAAACGGGGAGGAAGTGCTGAAAAGTTTACAGGATGCCATGAATTTTTTGTTTCAACCGGAGGATAGTCGTCCTGATAGCGGATTTGAGGACCGCACTGGACGGTGCAATATTTTTACCCCCGAGCCCCCGAGCGACCCTGTTGTTGATCCAGTTGGCGATTCTGTGGATGTATCTGGGGCGCCCGTGTATTATAACGAGATAAGGTTAAATTTACAGTAATTTTAAATGTAAAGTCGATTTTACAATTTTGTTTTTACATCCGAAGAAAAGGAATGTGGGCGACAACAACTTAAGATAGAAATATGGGCACCACGGATGCAAAATTGTATCGTAATTTGACTCAACTTGCCTATGAAGGATTTTCCTACAGACTTATGTTTTGTATATTTATTTTATAAACGTGATATTTTATTTATAAGGGGGGATTTGTTATAATTTAGTATGTTCATTTACTTTGAAATATTGAAGCAATTTCACCTGTTTAGTGGGACCTCAACTGACGGAGCCGGTGGGTTGTTAGCTTGTAAGGCGGAGCCCGGCAATGGCAGCCGACCATACATGGATCTAGGAAAACCCTTGACGAACTTCAGTCATCCATTGAGATCGTCATGAAAAACGCTGATAATAAACCTCCGCTAGAGGTTTTATCAGCGATGAATAACNCCTACTGAAATTGAGCGTTTGTGTGGCGTATCTCTCGGTGATCAGATCCGAACCCGCAGCAGCCTTCTAAAGAAGCAATAAACCGGATTATAAACGGTTACTTATTCGACAGCACTGCAGCTGTGAGAGTATTTTTAATTTTATTTGCTTTTTTACTGAAGGTCTTTTTGAGTTATTCTTGAATATTTATACAAGTTTAATTGTTTTTTTAAAATTTTTGAATCGATTTCCTTTGGCTCAATTGGCGTGGATTCATGGCTGATTTTTGTTATATTGTTAAGCGTGCCATAAACCGAAAGAACTTACACCTGACGTACTACGGTACCTGAAAGTAAATTTAATGTGATACAAAAGTATTGAACCAATTTAAATTATTTGTAGATGGACGAGCGAATGCGTTTCGATAATGGTAGTGAGCACTTTTGAAAATCATTAGTAATTGAGCAAGAAAACAAAGAAAATTATATTTTTTAAAAAGGTTGTTAATTTACCCAGTTTTAAACTTATTTTGGTGTAATGTAGGAAATTATACTGGTCTTAATTCTGATTGCGTTGAAAATGTTCGATTTAACTATGCAATTTCCTTGAAATCTTAAAAATGAAATGATTAATTTTTTTTCTATTTCGAATTTTGTTTTCAACATTCTTGGAATGTTATGTATTAAAGTAAAGAACGGATTTTAGTCTGATTTGGGCAATATTTAAAAACAAGCGCGAATGCAAATCTTGTAGATTCAGAAACGTATTTATCCAGGGAGATGCTCACTTAACACGAAATGCAAACACGTTTTTTGGTCATTTAAGTAGTTTTTAATTATTACACGAAAGTTTCTGACAATTATTTATTTGATAATCATTTTATCAAGTTAATAATTTATTTATTTAGGTTGCCAGTGCCCATTTTTAAGTAAAGTTATAAATTATTGCAATATTTCGCACTTTGGTGTTTGATTTAGATTTTAAAGCCAATTTAGATTTGATAAAGATTTTAAAGTCATAAGCTTGAATAAAATGAATAATATGAATTTTTCTGAACATTAAGATGGGTCACAGAATTTTTAAATTTGAGTTTGGAATTTTTGGCGATCACGTTAAGTTAATATAGTGCAAAAGTTAACTCTTCTTTTATTGATGTAATTTTTTTTGTTTTGAAGAAGAAAGAGCAGTTTGTTTTGCAAAAAATGGAAAGCGTATATGTTTTTATTTATAACTTAAGGCGTTATGCGAAAACGTTGCATTTCACAGTTTGGACGAAGGAAATACAGACGGACACACCTTTAAATGTTGTAATTTTAAAGTATTCCGCAAATAATTGTGTTTTAGTTATTTAGCAAATGTTTCGTGTTTTCAATGAATTAGGCCATGCTCTTTTATCATGTCAGTCATTATAATTCACGGGTTTGATTGAAAGTACCTATCAATTGATATTTGCCGTGGTTAGCTTTAGGCGTCTCACCACGTTAGGAATTTAATACAGCATGATTTTTGAGAGATAAACATAGCTTGTGCACCCTATCGTTATATTGTAATTCAGAGAATACACTATTTTTCTTAACACAATTATTCAAAGGAATGTAAAATAAGGTTTTATAACAGTGGCCGTTTCAACAGATTAAAAATTTAGGTTTGGTCTTTGATGTTTATGAAATTTTTTTATTTTATAGGCTCATGAAATGATCTACGCATTAAAGATTATTGACTGTAAAAAAATGACATTTTTTTCATTTTATTTGCATGAAATTTCTTTTTGTTTTTTTTTCCTATGAACTGATCCACGCATGAAAGATTAAATGAATGCATAAAAAAGTATAAACATTTTACTAAAATTTATTTCTTACGCTACAATATCTACAAAACATATAGCTTTTAATAAACTTTTAGTTTGTTCTAACTACGAATACTGTAAAAAATCGTTTTAATTTAAATAATCGTAAAATAATGTGCGGTTTAACTAAAATTGAAGACTATGAAAGTTGCCGGAGGCAACAGTAAAACGTTGTCAAAATTTGGGCACATTAAACCTTTAACGTTAATTTGAAGGGTCATTTTTTGGAAAATGAAGACAACATTGGAAACTGTTAATAAGTTTGAAGGACTAGGTGTAAACAATGTCAAATCAGACATAAGTAATGGAAAAAAAAAACGTGCAAATTTTAATATTAATAAAAGCAACAATCCTTATTTAATTTTGCGTTAATTATTAGTTGGTTTTCAAATACTAGTGTGAAGCAGAATTTAGCTAATTTAACCGATTTAATTCTCCGTTGAAGGAATCAAATTTTACGTTCAATTTTCCAAGGAAATTACCCTGGACGAAATTGGCATTAAACCCTGAAGGGTCCAGTAAATTGCAAATTTATGAAGTTAATGAAAATGAAAATACTACGGTATGGTTAAACGATATAAAGAAACGAAGACCTGTTAACTTACGTATCGAATAGCAAAACAGAAAACTTTAACACTGATTACATTCTGTAGATAGTATATTTGGAAAGGTTTGAAATTTACTTCATGGTGCTTGATAAAGTAATAACATTAAATATGTACAACGTGTACGTCTCTTTTAGCCAATTATTGAATGTTTATGTTTGGAAGGTATACATTAGGTGGAATGTTCGCTGAGTAAGATCTCCCCTGAAAAAAAAACATATTTAGAAACACAAAAAACAGCGAACATATTTTTTGAAATACTTGAAAGTACTAGGTATTAGAGAATGTACAGCGTTAAGTACGGTACAACCTTGTAACGGAATATATCTAAACTTTTCTAGTTGCTACTCGAAACACAATATTTGGTTGAGAGTTTGGAGTCCTCGAATATTTGTGTGAATACGTTTTTACGGAGCATGCAAGTATGGTTAACAA